ATGTGGACAAAAGACATAAACAAGTACTTCATAAAAGAAGATATCTAAGTGATTCAATGAGCAGATGAAAAGAAGCTCATCACTGGTCGTCAGGAAAAAGCACACTAAAACCACAATGAAATACCACTGCACACACAGCAGAAAGGTGAAAATGAAAAAGATTGATCATCCAAGTGTTGGTGAGGATGTGGAGTAATTGGGACTCTCACACATTGCTGGCAGGGCTATGAAAAGGTGCAATCACTTCTTAAAACAAATACAGTTAACATAAACCTACCACTATTGACCCAGAAAGTACATTCCTAGTTTATACCAAGAGGAATGATTGGAAAAGTCCAAAAAGAGAAGAGTATATAAAAGTACTTAACAGATTTGTTATAGACCTAAACTGCAAATAATCCAAATATTTATCAGCAGGAGAATGGATAACAAATTGTGATACATCCAGGCAATGGAATGCAGCCAGCAATAAAAAGAAGTGAAGTATATGCAGCTACTTGGATGAATCTCAAAAGCATTATTTCAAGCAAAAGTAGCACATAATATATGGTTCCACTTATGTAATATTCAACAGCAGGTAAAACAAGTCTATAGTGAGAAAAGTGAGAGTAGTCATTCCCCCAGGATTGGACATTGTAATGACTGGAAGACAGGAGGGAATTCTCTGGGGTGAAAGAAATAGTCCATATTTTGATCTGGATGGTCACACTAACCTATACACATGTGTCATAGTCCATTTGGGCTACCACAGCAAAACATCAGAGACAGGGTAGCTTATCGACAACAGAAGTTTATGTCTCACAGTTCTGGAGGCTGGAAGTCTGAGATCAGAGTGGTCACCAGCACGGTGAGGTCCCTGGGTCAGCGGGCAGACGGAAGCTGACAGATTTGGACTCTCCTCGTGTGAACACGGAGGGTGGAAGGCATGTGGTGCCCTTGCTCTGCAGGTCACAGTGGGTAAAGAATCCTGTCTTTGCTTCTTGATCTCCTCCTAAGCCTTCTGAGTCATCTTCTGCGTCTGGAACCAACTGGGACCTTGAGCCCAGAAATGCCGGTAAATGTATCCTCTTTAGTAATGCAGCACTACCGTGAATAATGGTGCCATCTAAGCAAAAGAGCTCAATTTCATCATCAGCTTACTGCCCAGTCAAGATTTTACCTATGTCTCGTTTTAAATGACGATTCTCTGTTTTATTTCCTTCCAGTTCTGCCTGCTCTTGCTTTAATACAGTCAATAAGATTTTTAGTCACGTTCTCTTTTCTGTGCTTATGTTCTCTGTGGAACCCACTCTGTAAAGTGCTCTAGTTTTGAAATATGTAGGAGCCCATATTGGATTACAGATGAAAAAGAAATCGTAACAAAAGCTGGGAGACTATAATTCATTCACAATTGTTTTTATGGTAATTTCCTCCATTAATGTGAAAAATGTGTATAATAACACAGGTAGAGATTTTCTGAGTTGAATAGTACACTGTGCTTCTCTTACACAATATCGAAAAGCAGTAGCAGCTTGTTATTTCACCAGGATGGATATATTTCTCTAGAAAACGGGCCTAAGACTAATGCAGTGATATGGTGACATTTCCCTGACCCCAAAATATTTATCCAAGTTCATTTCTGCCACTTTACTATTCACCTTGAGGAAGTGGCATAGAGAACTTTCACACGGAAAGCAGCCTTCCTGTGGCACAGGTGGCGTGTTGCACCTGGTTAGTCCTTACACCTAGTTTGGAGCAGAGCGGTTTGCATACTAATGATTTTCACCATTCTTGGTTCCAGAGGAATAGTCCCTTCCTGGAAGGTGGCCAGTTGGAGAAGTCAAAGCCTTTCACAGCCCCCTCCCTCTAAGCAGGGAGTTCTTATGTGAAATGAGCTAACACAGTAACTGTCAGTTTTCAATACAGAAGTCAGTATGTTTCTCTAGAATACAATTTTACTTCTGGAGCAAAAGAGACTTCTTTTAGGACTTGCTTCTGTAACTGTCACAAATTTTGACTCTGAATAATTTGGAAGGGAAAAGGTTCATTTTAACTACGGCCCTCAACTACACACTTTATCTGTCTGTAAAAGAAGGGGCTATAACTGCACAAAGCTTCTTTACAGGGGGTGTAAACACTGCTGATTTAAACTTTTACATTAATCCTTTATGCACCTGGAAATTGGAAGGCAGTCACTAGATAATCCCAAAACTACTTTTTCTTGATTTCATAATATTTTACTATTTGCTTTACTTCCAGTGCCCCCAAATGGATATATCCATTGTGCAATTAAAGCTACATAGCTAATTCTCTGTAATGGACTTTTAGGTGCCATAATGATCTAAATACCAAAAACAAAGAACTCTGCTTCTAAAATTCACAAAGAAATGTAATAATACCTAATTTAGTAATGTAAACATTATGGGTCAATTTTCAAAAAACTATTTGTGTTGCTGTAAACAAAATTTTAGCCACTCTTCTATCCCTGCTTATTATTGTTTAAAGATTTTAATCTAAATATATTCTTCCCAAATTGACAAATCTTCAAAAATTCAAGTCAAAACCACAAAGTTTTTTATTATAACCCACAAATTGGGGCTTTCCTGATCAGATATTTTAAATTACACATTTCTTCTTTAGAAAACCCAGGGGACCAGTGAGCTGTGCTTTCCTAATGAGTGTGGTATTCCTCACATCTCCCAGGTGGGCAGCACTGCCTGGAAAAGGCAGTTGTCTTGGTTGAGTAGGCATTAATATTGAAGGTATGGGAAAGGAAGTTGACTCGATTCAGGTTTCACTAGCCTGTGGCAGACGTTAACTTCAAATTCCACCTGCAGCACCAAAATGGAATAGATGTGAAATTCCAGAGTATGGTGCCAAGATGCAGACTTTCAATCAAAATACCCAAGACCAGTTTCATGAGTCTAAATAAAACTCCTCACCCAAGGGAGTAAATAAAAGTGTCTAGTAAGTAGGAACTAAGGGAGGATTCCGTGAGGAGTATTTTCTTGGTGAGAGCTGTGTTGTGACTCCCACCACCAAGGGTAGGGAAGAGAGGGCTTCAAAGGGCCACCCAGAGAACAGTTCCCTACCCTCGGGAGCACGGGGGATTGATGTCTGACTTGACTCCAGCCCTGGACATCTAAAGACCAGGAGAGAGGGACTGGTGAGTTTCCCTGGCATCAGGGAGAAGTGCCGCTGTTAAGACAGGTTTGCACTCAGTTTATTGGAGCAAAATAAAGACGAGTGTTTCTACGGACCAGCTGTGGGACACACAGGAGAGAACCACACTGCAGCCCCTTTAAGTCCTGCTCAGGAAGACACCTGGGATGTGGGTGGAGGGTAAACTGGGACTCCTACTGAGGAAGGCATTTTGGAGGCGGCCTCAGGAGAGCCAGGTCTGAATCAGAAGCTGGTAGCCAAATGAGTGAGACCTGCTCATGTTGAAGGGACAGCAGACAGGCAGCCCAAGAACACATGAAAGTACCCAGGAGACACCATTGCCAGGCCCGGAAAATGTGATGTTATCTTACAAGTGTCCCAGCCAAGCAACTGTTCCCACCCTTTTTCCTCTTCCCTTCCCTACTCCTCTGATCCTGGAAGGGAAAAACCCAGCAGATATTAAGTAGGGGCAGAGATGAGCAAGGAAAGGAGAAGTTGACCACATCCTCTTTCCTAAAGGCTGGACACCTGCCAGTGACTAGCTCTAGACGGTGGAGGAGAGAATTCTTATCTTTGAATAAAGATGAAAGTATTTAGTAATGTATTGGTTTGGACATTCTAATAGAAAGATCACTACTTTCTACTACCTATAAGTGACCCCAAAAGCTATATCTAGTGGCAGGGGTAGAATTACCCTCACTGAGGACAGTGAGAGAAAACATTAAACTTGCTGTTATAACTTCACCCTGGAAGTACTGCTTCTTCAATGAATAGGTTATATCACAAGCAGGAGTGATGGATGTATTTTTATAACCCATCTTCCATGAGGTACATAAGACGTGATGAACCAGATTCGCCCCCTCCACGGATATGAGTGAATGCCCAATCTTTTTCTTTTAAACACCTTCATTGTGGTATGATTCCCGTACAGTAAACTTCATGTTTCAGATGTATACTTTGGTGAATTCTGATAGATGTTTACACCAGTGAAACCACCACCACAATCAAGATAGCTAAAATTTCCATCACTCCCCAAGAGGTGCAAATTTTGAATTCCCAACTTATCTTTGATAGAATTCCCAGAATGGAAAAACATAGGGCCCCATCCTACTTTCATTACTGTGCTGGGTTGTTTTTTTTTTTAATTCTTGAGGAGGGGGGTTATTTACTTTTTTATTTTGATGGAGATATTGGGGATTGAATCCGGGACTTCATGCTTTACCACTGAGCTATTCCCTCCCCATTACTGTGCTGTTGATCTACAGGTTGCAATAACTACCCAGTGGTATGTCCTTGCAGCCTTTATGTGAAGAACGACAGAGCTAGGCATGGAGTGAATGAAGAAAAGATTGTGAGATCAAGTCTAAAAAAGTCCTTGGAAAGCTTTTCTGTTTGTCTGGAAGGCACCCCTTGTATCCGTGTACACAGTCAAAACTTGCAATTTACAGATGTCAAGGCACTGTAGTATAAGTGACCTCAATTGATTGTCACCAGGTCCCTGGGAAATGCAGGGGGGCAGATACTATTTATCTCCATTGTACAGAGAATAATGGCAACAATAACAGCTAAGAGATGCTCAGTACATACTATGTGGTTGACACTTACGCTAAATGTCCAACAATAAGCAACATATTTATGTATAATACCATTAATTGCTTCATTTTACAGGTGATCAAACAGGGTCTTAGAATGAGTAATTCATTTATGGTCAAACACTTAATAAAAGATGAATCTGGAAACTTAGTTGTCTGTTTTCAAATTCCTAACTTTGAACCTCTGCTCAGATGACTAAAATGAAATCCTAACATTAAGTAACTCATTCAAGGTTCTACAACTAGAAATAATTAGCATTAACAGACCTGGGTCTTGTGACTTCTTGACCTCATTTCATTGGAGATCGTCAGTGAAGATCTTTAGCTCTTTCCAGAGGGCGCTAAGCTATAGGAAGGAGATTAAGCAGAAATATAAATATATTTGCTGATCAAAATAACAGGTCTCAAAAGAAAGTTTACTATAGTTAATTACACTGTATCACATATTTGAAAGTTACCAGGAGAGTAGATCTTAAAAGTTCTTATTACAAGAAAAAAAGTGTAGTTATGTGTGGTAACCAGACTTACTGTGGTGATCATTTTGCAATGTATAGAAATATCGAATTCTTAATCTGTATATCTGAAACAAACGTAATAAATGTCAATTATATCCCAATTAAAAAAATTTTAGGCAAATTATAGCCATATGTTAGAATGTTTTACAGCCAGTAAAAATTTTTAATGATGTTTTCTTTTAAACACATAATGCATTTTTCCATTCCAAGTAGAAAAAGCAGCCTATAAAATATTAATGTTTTTAAGTCTGTATGAATACATGTATTTATACACATCTATACATAATTGAACATAAGTAGCAAGTTATATGCATGTGTGTGTGGGTGTATATATGATTATATCTTTTAAAAATAGAAAATACAGAATAAAATGTGCTAAAATATTAGCAGTATTATCTCTTGGTGATGGAATTATTGGTAGTATTTACTTTTTATTCTATGATTTTATTTATCCCCCCCAAAGGTCAATACATATTCTTTTTTCCCCTTATCTTCCCCTCTCTTCCCCTACCATTCAGATTTATTACTTTTAAAATTTTTATAAAAATCCAATTTACAGCCATTTAGTTTTTATCACCTGGGCAGTTATTTTTGATGGGTCTTCTACTCTCATCCTATAGACCGGACCGGTAATACCATCACCAGGTGTAAGGGCTTTGGAATCAGACAGATCTGAATCCGGTTCAGAGTACCCAACTCCAGAAGCTCGGGTCTCATGAGCAAGGTATTGACCCCTCTCAAAGCTCAGTGTCCTAGTGAGTATATTGGAGTCACTGGAACCTACAGCCAGGGCTGGATTGGGACATGTGCATACTTTGGGTAAGTCAATGATTCTTGGTGCTCCTTCGAAAGGATATTCTTTAAATAATTCTTTAACTTCTATTTAAAGGAAAGGCAGGGTCCTCACAGGGCAAAACAAAGGCCTGGCAGTTCATCAGACCTACAATCTTTAAAATGCATGTTACAGTCCTTGGGCTGTCACTCCCACTTCGAGCAACTCATCATCTTCTTCCTTCCAACCCAATCAACACTCTCCCTGAAAGTACTGATAAACATAATTTTCTCAATTGTAGTACACTTTCAAGGATATTTGTCCCTCCTTGTCGAGTAACACTGTACATCTGTCCTTCTGGCTCTGCGCCATAGAATGTTCTGAAGAAAATGAGATAACACATGTAGAGAACTCTGCACAGCATCTGACACTCAGCGGAAGTTCAATAAATGGCGGCTATTATTAGTATCAGAGCTAAAAACTATGGCAGCTTGGAGCCTCCGGTAATGACAGGCCCTGTGTAGGTCCTTTTCCCTCTAGCCTCTCTAGCTCCTTACCTATAAGCATTCTCTGAGGAAAGGCATTTTGAGAAAGCATTTGATGACCTTGAAATGTTCTCAAGAGCTCTCTGATACCTTTATAAATGAATCTTAATAAATATAGGAGACTCATTTCCTTCTTCATACCTCTATTATAAAAAAGCAACATAAAGTACCTTTGGCAACCTTCGGACAGTATAGCATTTTAAGTGTTATTTACCTTCAACGTGGTTGAAATCAATGAGATGGAGGTCACCTGGGGGACAAGCACTGAGCAGGGAGGTGTTGCTGAGGAACAGTGGCAGGTCTGAAACCAGATCTTGGCTGTGGAGCAGAGGGGAAGCAGCAGATTCTTCCGAGTTTTTATCATGAAAGCATGCCAGAACGCGCCTGCTGTTTCACGCTTTCCAGTCTCCTTGAATCTCCTCTGAGCAGGGGAGCGAGGGGAGGGATCGAGAGAAAAATAAAAACAGTGAGGTTAGCAATGCTACATCTCTTTCCCCACTGTCTATTCCCAAATACACACTATAAATATCAAAACACTGCTTGGTAGTAGTCCAGAAGATTTAACTTGTCCCCAAATTCCTAACAACCATCTATGTGTAATATGATTTTTGGCAGAGTATAACCCGACAACTTCTTGGCACGTCATTTGTTTTGAACAACTACCAGAGACAGGCGTAGTGACCACCCATCGGACACTCAAGCCGTGGGAAGAAGGGCATGTGGGGCCAGCCACTCGTTACCCTAAGTGAGGTAGGATCTTGGCCCCCCAAACCAAACCTCAGTTCTGCTGTGGCCCCACTACTCCCCATTCTTAATTTTGCGTAGTTTGTAGGGTTTTTGTTTGTTTGTTTGTTTGTTTGTTTTAAAGCAGGTGATGGATGTCCAAAGTCCAAGGACAGAGACTGGTTTGTCAACTCCCCAGTCACCACTGGTCACCATCCTGGCCCACTGGCCTCCCCTCCGGCTTCCAATCATGCCTGCACTGCCTTGCATTCCACCCCAGCCCTCCCTCACCCTTCAGGAGAAACTGTCCCCTGGATTCCACACTCAGAGACCACTGTGGCTGTTGCCAGCCCAGGCCAGGCTGGCTCTCCGCTTCATCCCTTTTTAAAGGGGAAACAGGAAAGGTGAGCAAGAAACCGCCAGCAAGTTTTGACAGCTGCTGAGGAAGACTAATGGGTTTCTAAGGAAACAGAGAGGCAGCAGCCATTTTAGTGGTATTTGCTGTATGAAAAATATATAGACACCGACACCCGCCCCCCCGTCCCCCAACCCCCACCCTCACCCCACCCGCTGCGCTTTCCCTCTCTCCACGCTTCAGAGGCTGGGAGGTGAGGGGTGGGGCCCTGGTCTCCCCCATACGTAGAAGCCACCTGTCGCATCGCAGGTGGCTGGCCACCCGGGGTCGCCTTCAGCCCCCTCCCCGCAGCGGGCGGGACCG